AAAAAAAAAAAAAAAAAAAAAAAGTACAATTTTCCACTCCTCCAAAAAAGCCGAATTTTTTTTTTTTTAAGTCAGGGTCTCGCTCCAGGCTAGAGTACAGTGGCATGATCATGACTCACCACAGCCTCAAACTCCTGGGCTCAAGGGATCCTCCACTTCCACCTACCAAGTAGCTGGGATTACTTATGTGCACCACCATGCCCAGCTAATTATTATTTTTATTTTTTAATTTATTTTACAGACAAGGTTTTGTTATGTTGCCCAAACTGGTCTCACATTCCTGGACTCAAGCGATCCTCCCAACTCCGCCTCCCAAAGTGCTGGGATTACAGGGGTGAGCCACCATGCCTGGCCAAGAAAAGCCAAAACTATGTCTACTAGCCTGTTCTACCACAGACCAAGAGGACTAGATAAAATTCTATCCTGTGATCTGCCTTTAGTATATTCTAGAGGCTCTTAAAATGGCAAGTTTATGCCAGGCGGGGTGGCTCAAGCCTGTAATCCAGCACTTTGGGAGGCCAAGGCAAGAGAACTGCCTGAGCCCAGTGGATCGAGACCAGCCTGGGCAACTTGGCGAGACCTCATCTCTACAATAAATCAAAAAATTAGCAGAGCATGGTAGTGTATGACTTTAGTTCCAGCTACTTGGAAGGCTGAGGTGGAAGGATCACCTGAGCCCAGCAGGTCAAGGCCCGGTGGCCTGGGTGACAGAGTGAGAAGCCAACTCAAAAGAAAGAAAAAAAAAAAGTCCCTATCCTCAAGGAGTCCAAGTTATCAAGAGACACAAACAAAAAAATGACTATAGTAAAGGGCCGGGTACGGTAACTCATGTCTATAATGTCCCAGCACTTTGGGAAACTCATGCCTATAATGTCCCACCACTTTGGGAAGCAGAGGCAAGAAAATTGTAAGTTCAGGGGTTCGAGACTAGCCTGGGCAACTTGGTGAGCACTCATTTCTACAATAAATCAAAAAATTAGCCAGGCATTGTGGCATGCATCTGTAGTCCCAGATACTTAGGAGGGTGAGGTGGAAGGATAACACTCAACTGAGCTCAGCAGGTCGAGGCTGTAGTGGCTGTGAGCATGCCACTGTAATCCAGCCTGAGAGGCAGAGTGAGACTCTGACTCAAAACAAACAAACAAACAAAAGACTACAGTAAAAAGAAACAAATGATATGAGATATTAAATTTTGACTGTGCAGTCTAAATATCACAATCATTAAACATGTAATGCTCTAAGCATTAAATTGGGTATTATAGGAGAGTATATCTGTCTGGCCCCTGTGGTTTATTTGTAGACTGAAAAAAAAAAATTGGAAAAAGACCACAAGGCTAAAATAACCAGAATTTTCCAAATCAACAGAGTTGAAGTGCCCAGAGGAGCTAATGAAGGTGAGAGGAATCTACAACAGAGACCAGAATCCAGAGTAGTGGTTCTCAAATGGAAGTGATTTTGTTCACCAGGGGACATTTAGCAATGTCTGATCACAACTGCAGGGGTCGGGGTGTTACTAACCTCTAGGGACTAGCAGGAGTGCGGCTAAACATCCCACGATGCACAGAACAGCCCTCAGGTGCTACAACAAAGAATTATCCAACCCATAAATATCAAGAGTCCTGAAGTGAAAAACCCTGATCTTAAAGAAATTTCACCTTGGAGAAACTTCCCCCAATTTTTTTTTTTTTTTTAGTTGGAGTCTCACTCTGTCACCCAGATTGGAGTGCAGTGGC